ATTCAAACTGTGCAACCAAAGTACTGTGACTTCCATAGAGCTAACTTCTTCCAGGAGTTTCTTGTAGGTCTGGGGAGAGGAACAGGAGACACTAGGGTGTCTCTATTCCTTTCCTGAATGCACACATGCCTGTTTATTGGCATAAGTGCATCCACATATAGGCAGGAAGTTGGTACTTCCTGCTCTCCAGAGTTGAAGCAGGGAAGGGAGCTTACACAAGAATGGGAACTGGTATGTATCTGACTCCCAGAGAGTAGCCAAGCCTACTGGGCTTTTGAAGTTCAGGGTCTTCAACCTGATTTGGTTGGTCATGCATCTGGCCGAGTCCCCTCTCCCATCAGGGCAATCTCTGAGTTCTGCCCCATGCCCCAGGAGGAGGCAAACTCTGCCCAGTCTCTGGGAAGCACACTCTCCTCTGTACCCTCACAACTACTCACTGAGGCAGAAAGGTGTAAGATAGTAAGAGTTTATTGTGGGTGTTCTTGGCGCCCAGTTATAGAAAACTGGCTTCCCTGGCCTTTCCTTGAAGGAAGACTTTGAGCTGCTAAAATGATGCTCGTATTCACAGTCCACATATTCATGCCAATCCTCCCCTGTTTGTGCCTCAGAAACACTATGATATAGATGCAAGTCAAAACGAACCACTTAGCACAGAAAAGTGAAAAAGTCTGTGTATGCAAGAAACAGAAAAGCCCTCTCCATCAGTCACAATGCCAAAATTATCCTTCCTACAACGATGGGAGATTGTATGTGGCTAGGTAGATGGTCTGAGTTGGGATCCCAGTCCTCAGCAGCATGGCCCTGACCCTCATGGCTATCTGCGGTGATGCAGCCTCTCGATTTGTGTCACTATACAAAGTGTAGGACCAAATTATCTATGACCTGTCCTCCAATCTAAGGAGAAGCCTGTTTCACCGAGGGCTGTCTGTGTTCCAATTCCACTCCCAGTGATGAGAAATCCTTTGTATGTCTGGCAGAAAGGGTCGGGAAGACTCCAGCCAACATGTTCGTTAGGAAACGAAGCCATAACATGGTGGTATCTGCTTCGCGGGACACAGGAGCGCATAGGGGATGGGCAGTGCCAAGGGAAGAAGAAACGCTAAGATTTTTATGTGTTGGTCAGTCACAGTTGCTTTCAGAAGGAGTTAGAATTCCTGTTGTAATCCATGGCCAGTAGTGCCGATCTTCTGTTTGCCTTTCACTTTGGTTTAGCATCTGTGATACATTTTCAGTCATTTTAAAGCGCGTCGCCACCACCACCGGAAATTATTATAGCAACAGAGGATACATTTGCAGTACTCTCAGCACGGATACATTTTTTTTTAATTGCACAGGATTTTATCTTGGAACTATTGAAGTTACCCTGCTCCATAAAAGGTCCTGCAGCTGCCTCAGGATGCTTCCTCTTCTGGGAAGCTTGCTTTGACAGCCTGGGTACACTCTAACCAGGGGCTCTCTAATTTCAGTCACTGGCATGCACATTCTGTTTGCCTTTGAACAGAATCACACTTCCCTCTGCTTCCTTGCCAAGAACACACAACACAGGGCAGCTCAACTCTACTGTGTGAGAACTTGTGGCTAAGATGTCCCTGTCCCTCTTTCAAGACCTCATACAGAACAGGGCTCCATAAGTGTTCAACGACCACATGGCTCCTGAAATTTTAACCAGCTATCACTGCTATTAATTAATTCTCTTCCTCCCTCTTAGGACAATAAGTAGAGAAACTGTTTTGGATTCATATCCCCTCATGAAAATGAGCGAGTGGATCATTATTTTCCTCCTCCTGTGGTCTTAAAATTGTTTTTGAAGATGGAAGAGCAGGATTTTATTTAAGGCATAGGTGAATGTTCTATAATATATATATAATATAAGAAAATAAAAAGAAGCCATGACTTGTAAAGAGAACAAGGAGAGGTATATGAGCAAGTTTAGAAGAAGGGAAGGGGGAAAGATGCAATTATAATCTCAAAAATGAAAAGTAAAATAAATGTACAGTTGTAAGTTACGCTGGCACCATGTGCCAACCTGCTCCTGCTCCAGTTACAGCTGGCATTGAATGTTAGCATTCTCCAAAGTCCTCCATTATGAAGTGAATTCATATATTTTGAAGGTCCTGCTATCATTTTGTGCCTACAGTATTTGCAAATAATTGAAAAAGTCTAGTAATGTAGACAATTGATAAAAAATTCAGGTGACTATATTGAAAAAGACTGTAGTTTCAGCACAAGTGAAGGAAATGACCCCAAATCATGAGAGATGGTATTCCAAACTCATTTAGTAAGCATTTCTGTTGCATTAATTGTGTGAGAAAATACGCTTTTCTGTTTTTTAAGGGTGGGCACTTTGGGTGACTTCTCATATATAAGGACAAAAGAAACTGAAATAACAGAAATGTAAAGCACTTCAAAGGCACTGAAAGGACGGGGTGACTTGTCTGCCTTCTCAACTTAAAAACAAATCTGAAAAAGCACACACTCGGATGTGTGTTAGCATTTTAAAACTAGTTTTTTTGTTTGTTTGTTTCAAGCATGTTGCACTATTTCAGCTCCCTTGGTTGATGCAAGTTCATAAATGTAACTAGGGTAAACCTTCCAGAGTGGTCAGTATTCTGATTACAGGAATTATCAGAAGACTTTCCATTTATCTGCCCTGTTGCCCTTTGTCCCAGACTCTTCACACGAGGCTCCCTGCCCAAGCAGCCAGATCTGAGCTCTCTTCTGCTGGGACTCTGCAGATTCCTTTTGCTCAATGCTGTGGTTTATGGCATACATCTTTTAAACTCTTCTCCTGTGTCCTGGACAAAGCCCTTGAAAACAGGAGAAAGAGGGCGCTCTCTAGGAACTGTCAATATATGAGGGGAAAGAATGAATATAGGAAGGCTGATGTGGCCTAAGCATGGCCAGGAGGCTGTCTGAAGTTTTTTTAGGAGTACCAGAGAAGCGTCTAGAAAGTATTAACTAGCTACACAGTAGCCAAGAAACAGCCTTGAGAGCAGCAGCTGGGGAAAGCTGGAAGTACAGTTCTGTGGCCACAGCTGTGGTCCATTACCAGGAGGGCAATCAGGAAGCCCTTTTGAATAGAACTATTATATCTGGTACCTTTTATACTCTAAGAAATGCAGACCCATTGGCTGTCATTTTGGAAAGCGACGATACTCCTTAAAAGGTATCAGATCCACTTGCCTGTGTGCCGAGACTCAGTTGTAGATAGTGTACTCTCGTGGGCGGGCGGGAGGGGGAGAATGAGAACAAAAAAAAAGAGGCAAATGCTGTCTTTGTACTATGCTGGAAATGGTTCAGACCTCATGGAGCCCCTGAAGGCATCTCAAGGACATACAAGGGTCACTGCAACATTTTTAGAATCAGTCACTACCTGGGAGTATAATCTTAGTATGGACTCTAAGAGCACAGCCAGGTTAACAGGGTTGGGAAGGGAATTTGTGGTTGGTGACCACAAGGTCCTCAAGCACAGGCATGAGCTGTGACCACAGATATCCCCAGGGAGTATAATCTCTTATTGCCTGGCTACATATAATGTCCAGTTCTTTTTATAATAATACTGGCTTTGAAATGGGCATTGCCAGTATCCAACAATCTAAATGAGAGCTGCCCTTCAAGAGAGTCACCTTTCCAGTCTAATTATTTCAGCTACTATGTGTGACTAAAAATTCAGAATTTTTTAAAAGTCTTGTTATAGATGAACTTGGTTTTCCTAAAGTTTACTCAAATGATACTAAGGAGTTTGTGGGGGGTGGGTAAATAACTCGAACCACCGGTTTTGACTCCAGGTGGTCTTCCAGTTTGTGACAATTTAAATCCTCTTTGAAGGATGAAAATGTGCTCGGTCTGCAATCAAACAGGCCCACTCACTTTTTTCAGTATTGTATTCAGTATCTTGCTCCTGCAGAAGACAAGAAGGTCAGACACAGGCCCTGGCATAAGAGCTTATTACCCAGTAAAACAGGCATGGGAAACATAAGTGAAAACCCAGTCTAGCAAGCAGCATAGTTGGGGAAAGGTCAAGTTGGGCTGAAGGCAAGTAACTTGCTCTAAGGGATGGGGAAAGTTAAGAAAGGACTTCTTGGGGATACCTCTTCTACTTCACTCCAAAGAACTCCACTCTTCCCGACAAGAGTGGAATGGGACACATGTGAAGATGATTCCTACAAGGGCCCCAGGTACAAAGACTTAGAGGAAGAAGAGCAGGCCATTTGATGATCTCGAATTCAAAATGGAGGTGGAAGAGCTTGATTTATCATGAGACATGACATAAAGCAGGGCCTGGTGGACCATATTATTGCATTTTATCCCGAAGGCCAAGAAAATCCACTGGCCTATTTGTAGTTTCAAACAATCTTGGTGAACTCCTAGCATGTGTGAGAGAGACTCAGGCTGATTGAGCTGGTTAGAGGTTTTTCCTTCTATTCTCTCAGAGCCTCAAAGAGGTCGCCTACAAAATGATGAGACTTTTTTCATCCAGAAGGTGAAGTGAGATGCTTGTCAACTGCTAGTAGACTACCTAGTACATAATAGGTGCCCAGAATTGGTTGCCTTTTATTGTCCCCCATCATGGAAGACACAGGCAGCAAGATCATATCAACATATCTTGAAACATCTGAGCCAGAGAAGCTGTACTTTATAGAGTGGCAGGCCTATTACAGTGCCCAAATTTAGTTTCTCACACAGAAAGTGTGGTTTGTCGTGCCACCCAACCCTAGCAACATGCAACTGAGATAAGCTAAAAATAAAAATAAAATTGAATGTAAGTGCACAGCCAAAATGCTGACTTACTAAAGATTCCCTTTCCTTGAGGGATTCCTGACTCCTCCTCAAGACAGTAGGTTCCCCCAACTCTGTACTCATGAACACAGTGCAATATGCTGATGAATGAGTGGAAGCCAGGAGAGGAGCCTCCCCTATGGTCCTGAGCAGGGTGCCCAATCCAGCCACTATGAACTGCACAGATCCCATAACAGAAAGAAAACAGAACAGATGTCAGATTGGATCCTCAGGAAGATCTTTGTTGCAATGTTCTCCACCATTGGGAAAAAAAATATTACATCAAGACAATAGCAGCACAGCTTATTGAAATGTTACAAGCAAATTCCCACTTCTCCTACGAACAATATGAAATGCCCCCCAAACACATCATTAACTGTAAAATGCCTTTTTCTTAAAAATAAATAAAAGCACCATGAAGTCCTACAAAGAGAAAAATAGGTAAAACATCTCCACACATGGGTTTATTGTCTGCCATCACTGGGTCCCTTGCCTGAGCTCTGGACAGAAAAGGGATGAAAAGGTTAGCACACAGGGTGGTTTGCATATCACTTCTAGTCCTGGCTGCAGCTTTGCCCTTCTAACTAGAGCCCTAGCCACACGGAACAGGCCATGCAGCAGTCTCTGTGGCACAAGTCTACCGAGTTAATGAACTGGAAGTCTTCAAAGGGGTTTCTTTTTAACGCATGGGAAACTGTTTTCACTTAAAGACAGAGAACAAAAGGGGGTCCCCAATCTCAGGCATTTGTAAACACTTCTCACTTCTCCATACCACTAAGCTGGTGTCATATGACACAGAAATGAAAGGACCATGGAAGAGGGTAGTGAAGTGTAACATAGCTATTCTTTGAGGCCATTATTAAGTAGTTCTTATGCTGTATCAGAAGAACCTTCCCATGTCCACTCAGTCACTGTCTTTGCACACAGATGTATCCTAATGGTGAGAAAGGCTGCCAGACAGGAAGCACTGGCAAAACGCAGAAGGCCAAGCTGCAGAAGGCAGTGGGACTCGTTTTCTTTTATAGAGAGGCTCCGCAAGCTTGCTTTGCTTCATTTCCTTTTGGAGTCTTTGCGCTGATACTAGAACCATTCTGCACACGGGATGGCTCACGTTCTATCCCATGACTACCTCAATCAGAACCCTGGCACACATTTTCACTAATCCCCCAGACCAAGCATACAAATAGATAAGCAGCTTTGACTTCCCCAAGAAATAACACCTCAGAAAGGGGAAGAGGGGTAGTTTTCTAGCACAACTAGAACATGAAGTTGTCCCCGTAGAACCCAAAGAGTCATTTCCTACATGCATGTGTGTCTTTGTGTACTGGAAGAAGAGAGAAGGACAGGAATTCACAACTCAATCAAAGGGAGTTTTAGGACAACTGAGTGCAAATAGCAATGGTTTACAAATCATTGACTAGTCTTAATACCATTGCCCTGCCCCACCCCACCCCACCCAAAAAATAAAAACCTTTCATCCCGTGATCTGCCAGGTGAAGGAGTGCTATACTAGATCAGTGGACAGAGCCTATATGGGACATGATCCTAATTTGGACACTAGTCTCTCAAATACATATGGTCTCCACCAACCATGCAGGAAACAAACCGAGGATGGGATGGGGCCATTAGTCAATCCTCAGAAATTCAACTTAACTTATTTTCTGATTAAATTAACTCATGGAGTGGGAAGTGTTCTCTCTGAGCACTATACAACTGGGGAAAGGTTTGGTAATAATCTGTGCTTGATCCTCTTGGTGTGCAGGTGAGGTACACTGTGAGGAAGTGTGCCTGCCCGTGAGCATAGGCTGTAATGGGGGGAGAACACAAGCAGTACTTTCAGATACCTGAATTGTAGGTCAGTGACCCCTTTCACACCACACATGCCACACACATGCACACTAGACAACCCTATACCAAAACTAACAAACAGCCAGAGTGAATCATATGAAGTTAGGACTGGGTTTATAATCAAGTCTCTCCAAGCTGTCCTTTGGCTCCCACCAGTAAACCTCCAGATGAGAGAACAATTATGTACCCAGCCACCAAATGAAGCAAAAAACTGCCCACTGAAGACACCAAACACGTGCCCTTCCCAAGTGTAACATCCTTGCATTTATTCTGGGTTTAAGAGGGGCAGGGGTACTGATGGGAAGGAGAGGGGCTAGGCTGATGTTTGTATGTAACACACAGAAGCTGTCTTATCACATGTTATTTGTCCCCCACCTTTACAGGGGTAACATCAAAACCACCAATATAGGCTTAGCATGTACACACGATGAGAAATCTCTCGACCCCCTTCAGCTTCTCCTTTGGAGAGTACTTCACAGTTTTTGGAACACTTTGTCCACATACACTCTTGTCACAGAGGGTACTCTCTGTCATCATTTAGAACCTGTATCCAACACTCAGGAGATGGGTTGCACACTCTCAATCCAAGATTATGTTTGATTCTCAGTACTACTGCGGTTTGATTCTCTTGAATACAACTACGCACACACCCAACTGGGGCACCTGTTCCATTTGGCTGATCACATATCACAGACCTCTGAGCTGTCTAATTCCTGCTGCCTGAAGAATTCCTGCAAGAAAATCAAGTAAAGTGCAAAAGAGTGCTTTTGAGGGGCGTTTGTAGCAATGGAGAAAAGGTGCTGTCCATGGCCTCCCCAAGTCAAGAGCATACAGCGGGTATCTTCGAGGGCAACCTTTTAGGGCAGGTTTACCCCCAAAACTCTGTGCCCTCATAGGGGTAAAAATGCCTGTCTTCTCCTCACCTCTGTCAACTGTGCTCATGAAATTTGTAAGGTGTGTGCATGTGCACACTGCAACACACACAACCGCACACATGTACATGCTCTCTCTCATTCACAAGGGCACACCATGTGGACACTGCAGCAACACTAAGATTGGGCTCCACCACCTTCCTGCTGTGCACTACTGGCAAGTTGCTTAGCCTCCCTGAGTCTCTGCATCCTCGTCTCTACAAAGGGTGTGAGAATGCTTCCCATAGGACACGGTGAGGTTTCAGTGAGAGCCATAGAACGTACCCATCCAGTGTCAAGCCCATGAAAGGCACACCAAACAAATGACAGGGGTGCTTCTCCATCAGATATAGATCCAGTGCCTGCAGCTTTAACACAGTCGTAAAGACATACCAAGGTACCATATAGTGGAAACCTAAATGAATGAGATCCACGTGCAGTGTCATTGGGAAACTTGTCAGAACAAGAGAAATCCCACTTATCTGTTCTTTAACACAATGAGTCAGTCTGGACCCTTGCCATAATGAAAGCCCAGCACCCACACCTGTATAAGTCTCATATCCTAGAGTCTACGCCGTACTATGCAGAACACCAGTGTTATCCCAGACAAGAGTTATCCCAGACAAAGTCTTGACAGAAAAAGCCTCACCATAGTGATTCTTATTTGACTTCTCAGATCTCTAACAAGATCCTGAAGGTTTGGGATCTGGGAAACAGGGGCTTCTGTGCTCCAAGAAGGGGCAGCTATAAGCAGTGCATTTGGGGGAAAATAGACAGGGGTGATGGGTCTTCCATGGTACCAGTGGTCAAGGAGAGGCAATGGGCATAATTCCCCCTCAGAGTTAGAAAATGATGGATGGATTCTGGAAGTATCCACTTGTGCTATGATCTTTCGTTAAATATGCTCTGTGAATTAGTTATAGAAAAATCCATAAAATACCAAAGGTGGTGCTGCATAGCCAGCAATTTTCTCATAATTTTAGAATCCAAATGTTTAAGTGCAGGGGCCCAGATCACTAGCTAGCTGAACCAACATGTTACCAAATCTGATTAAAGCTGAAGCATACACAGGTGAGCCGAAAGCCTGCTATGAATTTCACCTTTCTGATGAAAATCCTTTTTAAAAGATCATTCTCCCCAAACCTACAATTGGACCTTTCCTGCAGTGTTCCTTCACTGAGCATTGTAACCCGATAAACAGTCACTGATTACATGCTGATCGTTATTTGCCTAGAAACAATGATAGGGGAGTAGTTACCATTTGAGTAATAGCAGGTGTGAGATGAACAGATGAGGGAGGGTTTGTCCCCATAATAAAGGCATAAAGAAACAAACATAAAGTGAAATTGACAATGGCGTGATGAAACGCAAGAATGAAGTGAAAATCTTTGAAATACTCCTTTTCAGTATTACTCTTTAAATGGGATTAATGCACTTAAGCTGCAAACAACTTAAACCATTTCAATCTTAATATACAAGAGCTGAGTGAGAGATTCATTTTCCTTTTATATGGAAATAGCAAGATTGAGTCTCATAGCTTTGTCTACTCTAAGACACCCAAAAGGACAAAAAGCCCTGAGATGGAAAGATGCCATAGTCCTCCTTGGTGTGTCTCACAAACACAAGATGTCTATTCTTATTTTTATTTAAAAAAATTAGGATCAGCTGGACAGAACAGCAAGCCACTGGCATCATGCAAAGGCAATAATTTTGGTATTTCCTCCCTCCTATCAAAACAAGTTATAATTAAAGTTCCTGTAGAAAAGTGAGTATGAATGTTCCAAAATCAGTTTATCTTCACCCACTGAAGAAAATGCAAGATTTGCCTTCCAACCAGGTAGTGGCTAAGGTGGTGTTTTCACCAACGCTTGCAAGCCTACATGGATTACCCATCCTACCAAAAGGACAAAATTCAGTGGGCTTCTATCATTGGTTAAGGAGCTGCCCACAGTGGGATGTGTCTGATTTTTTTTTAAATGAGAAAAGCAATTGCACCCTACAAAATGTGTGCTCTGATCAGCTTCCAAAAATTCCAGGTACTCTTGGGTCCCAAGGACAATCATCTGGAGTAGATGTTCTGCACTATGGCCTGTCGAAATTCAAGCTGAGGACATGCCAAAAGGCCCAATGAAACCCTAGCTGAAGTTACCAGGTCACCTGCACACAGCTGCCCATTTTGTGTATAACCTATCACTAAAGGTAGGTTCAGGAATGGAGGCTGCATTCAAAAGACAAACCTGTCCTCTCAGAGGCTAGTCTAAGGAACAGCTGCCCTTGTCTGTCTATGTGCCACGTCAGAGTGGTGTTCTGTGAGGGCTATAGCATTGCCCCTGGAACTCCCCTCAAGGGGACAGCCTATACTTGCTTTGTATGCAAACGCTCCCCATGTGTCCTGCCACCACTATCTGAAATGAAGCTCTTGTCTGATCCCTTTTGGCAGAGCAAGCTTTCAGTTGTGTATGGCACAGTGAAATATATTCTTCAATGTTATGTAATTTTGGACTAACAAGTCTGTTTAAGGCACGTGTCTCAGTGTGAATAATTTTTTTAAAAAGGAAAAAGAAAAACCAAACAAAACAAACAAAAAACAAGACAACACTTAGTCCAACTCTAGTGTCTATAACATTTAGTTTCTGTCTTCAAGTAATGAGTTGTTCTCCAGCCCCTGGTCTTTGGTGTCTGTGGGTATCATTCCATTCTCCATCTCAGCTTGCTGCTGTATACATTCTGTCAGCATGGCTGTGCTGGAGTTGTCTGAGTTACACATCTTTTCCGTCTCCTCCTCTTTCTTCTCTTCATCCAGAGAGTAATTCCGGAAGGTTTTGTAGATTTTCTGAACATCCTCGGGTAAGGTCTTTTTGAGATCTTTGTTTTTCCTCTTGGTGAGTTTGGAGGTGGACCCAAACTTGTTGATGATGTTGTCCTCAGAAGCGCCTTGCCCATGTTTATTGAGCTGTTCTGACCCCTTAAGGCGCAGGTTGTTGGGTCGGTTGTTGATACTTTCCTGGGATGAGGCCTTGAAACGGCCTGTATCCAAGGCTGCAAAGACAGACCGCTTCTCTGGGGATAACATGTCCAGGGAGTGGGCCCTCTGGTCCAAGCCCAGCCTCCGGCGCTCCATACTGCGGATGGTGGCTGCTCGCTGTAGCTTATCATGGATCTCAACGCTGAGCCGCCTTCTTGTCTCCCGGAACTCAGCGGTTACATTAGCTTTCCATTCGGCTGCATGGGCTTTGATCTCACCCACCTGGACAGGACAGAAGAGCACAAATGAACTAAGAAATCGCTCTCACCTCAAACTTCTCAAAATCCCACAGCCCTCACGAATCCCAGGAGTGAGGCTGTCTTTGGGGGAGACCAAGGAATGATGGTCTCCTAGGAAAAGAGAGAAGCACTACATCGGTTTCTCTGCTACTTCCTGCCATCCCATGTCAGGACTGGCTAGTGACTTACTAATGGAGTAAGAAGAGTGCGGAAGCACTAGAGGCTGGAAAATTGTGACTGAATAGAGGTGAAAAGCATCTGGAGGAGAGATCAGGATTTTGGTTCTACTTGTTCTCTCCCTCCCTCTGTCTGCCTCCCTCCCTCCTCCTCTCTCCCTGTCCACAATCGTATGGTCCCATTTTTTTAATCTGTCTCATGGATCATCTATCATAACATTAAAGACCACACCCAACTCAATCTTGGCCATAAAGTCAGTGCTCAGCAAATCTTTGATCTTTCCTGCCTTCCCAATACTTCTGTCTAGGTAAGATTACCAACCTGTCCCACCTTCCTAAATACCAAACAATGGGGATAGAACTCAGTGGTAGAGCACCTGCCTAGCATGTACAAGGTGCCAGCATTCAATTCCTGGGGGTACTAGGAAAGAAAAAAATTCCTGTGTCCCAGGAAATCCCCTAAGTCCTGGGCAAACTGTGATGGATGGTTAGTCATCCTCTACCAGAGTCATGCTATGAACTATGGGACTTGTCCTGACTGAGGAGGCCCCTCCAAGGGACTTAATGAACATATTTCCCTGGTTTAGGTGCAGGAAAAGGTCATTTGCCACCAAAGCCTTCCTATAATACTTCCTTAGAAGAAGCAATTAAATAATTTCATGGTTGGGGGGTTCCTCACAACATGAGGAACTGTATTAAAGGGTCACAGCATTAGGAAGATTGAGAATCAGGGGTATAGAGTTTCATATAAACTTCTCGAAGGAGTAAAGACTGTAGGTACCTGCCAACAGGAATAAAATCTGAGAATATGACTATGGGAGGACACGGTGACCTTCACCTTGTGTCCAATGTGCCAACTCCATGCTAATCCTGAGACCTGGAGGGCAGGCCAACTTCCCCAGGCTCCCTCCAAGTCCACAGAGACTCCCATGTGTTTGCCAACACAGGCAACTGTATTCTTTCCATAGCAACCATCCACCATCTCTCGGCATTTCCAATTTTCCCTTTATATTTTTAAGCAGTTATTTACTAAATGATCTAGAAACAGCTACTTCGACTCAGTGTTGCTTCTAAATAGATAGAAAAGGAAGCCATATAACCCCTCCATGGAATCAGAAACTGACATTTCTCAACAAGGGTTAATGGGATGTCAGGGACATTCTTGGGGTCAGGAAGGAGTCCTTACTTCTTCTTTTGTCTTTTTGGATAAAACCCGAAGCCAGTCTCCGATCATACTGAGGACAGCTGCAAAGTAGGCAAGGCCAACAAGGATCCAAAACCACACCAGCGGCTTATACCACTCTCTGTAATTGATGCCAGCATTTCCCCCTGAAAAAAACCAAGTGGTACTTTTAATTTGGCCAGCAGTTGGCATTCACCCAGCTCACTCCATAGAGGAAAATATCACTCCATAGTCCAGTTATAGGCCATTAGGTTTGCAGGATACAAAACACAACAAAAGCTGGAGTCTTGCTTGTAGTTTAATGTCTTTGATTCTTAGCCACTAAAGATAAACCTCAATTCTATAACAGAAAAATGTCAGAGGCCACCTCGAGTTATCTAGTCTCACTGACAAAGAATTGGTTTCACAGGAAAAGTATCTCAGATGTCAGCCCACCTGTCCTTTTGTTTTTCCCAAACTTCTCTGAATTTACCTTAACTCAGGCTCAATACCATGAGGGTTCAGCATAGTAGTACATACACTCATGAAGCAAAGACAGGAGGATCCACTGTAAGTTCAAGGCCAGCCTGGGATATACAATGAGTTCCAGGTGAGCCATAGCTACATAATGAGAACTTGACTCTGAAAAGGAGAGAGGGAGCTGGGCGGGGGAAGAAGACAGAGCGGGAGGAAGCAAGAGGTGCAGAAGGGGGAGAGAAGAGAAAAGAGAGAGAAGCCAGAAGAGGAGGCTAGAGGGAAAGGATGGGGGCAAAGGATGGGGGGGAAGAACGAGGAAAGGAAAAGGAAGAGGAAAAGAAAGGGGAGAAAGAATGTGTGTGTGTGTGTGTGTGTGTGTGTGTGTGTGTGTGTGTGTGTGTGTGTGCATACATATCAAACCATGTCAAATGATTTCAAATACTTGGAACACTTTCCTTCTAAATTTTACATTCATTGACGAAGACGTGAGTGGGCATGCAGAAGTAAAATTGGGTGTAACAACATTATTGAGACTTTGATCCATGAAATAGAGATTTGATGCTAAGAGAGGGATGGTGTTTACATAATGTTCATCCCGGGGTCAATTAGGCCAGGCAATTAGAATCACCACCTCCTATAGCTAAACAGTACCTGTGAGACCAACGAGTTCAATCCCATCATCTTATAAATAAAGATTACAGGGGGGGAAAATCCATCAAACTAAATTGGCTAGTAACCTAATGGTATTGACTAGTTATTCCACAGAGAGAAATGGTCATTTATTCCAAATAATTAGCCTACTTATTCTAACCTCCCTGCTAGCACTGCTGAGAACACCAGTCACTCAGAGAGCTCTCAGGGTGCCTCCAAGACAACAGCTCATGTGGATAATATACCAGCAGTTGGGACGCTGGGCGATAAAAGATTTCTAGCCTTTTCCACCAGGTTGTGGTTGTCACTATGTGTGGCATCCCCGAGGCTGTGCTGACTCTACTGTGTCAAGAATACTCTGAAAACTCAAACTCTGGTGGACACCCACTGGGACCGATGACCCTTAGTAAATTCAAACCTACTCTTCCACACAACCCATGAATTCTACTGCAACAGGAATGGGCCTGAGTTATGGCTCAGGGGCTGAGAGTATTTGCTACTATTGCAAAGGACCCACAAGGTGGCTGATGACCATCTGTAAGTCATACTCCGGGGGATCCTATGCCTTCTTATGTACAGGGAAAACATTCATATGATAAAAATATAAATAAGGGGGGTATGGGTGAATTCCAAGCACTGGCAGAAGGTTCTGAGGTGTCAGGTGTCTCTTTGCTTTGGTTCTGGTGCCTTCGTTTTCTCCCCTGTAGCCAGCCTCCTTCAGTATTAGCGGTCATCTTTGTGTGCTAGACTCATTTCCTTAAGTGTTGTTTCCCCTTTGGGCTAAGTAAATGTTTACCTTTGCAAGTCACTAGAACCCAGCCAAGACTGTCACTGGGGCATGTGCTAACCAACAATACAGAGCGCAGCCTTTCATCAGCCATGGCCGGAATTGCAAGTTCTGTGTACACTCCCACTCAGGGTTGGGAAATACTGTCATGTCATTAGGCTGTCCCAAAGTGGGTCAGCTGTAAAATAAAGCAGCAACCAATCGTGAGTAGCTCATTCCCCATTGTATTTCTAGTAGAGCTGCTATCTAATAAGATCACGGTGACTGTTAACTCTTGGTCCTGTACATTATTTGAACAGTCCAGCAGCCCTCCCTGTCAGAGTATTGGCCTTCCGTATCTACAAGCTGTCTGGGTGGATTCAATGAACCAGAGGTGGACCAAGAATATCAAAAAATGTATTATGTCAGTACTAGACATGTGCATGACTTTTTATTCTCAGCACTCCCTAAACAATACAGTATGATGACTTTTTGTATAACATTTACATTGCATTAAGTATTATAAGTAATCTACACACAGATGGTTTAACATGCACAGGAGGGTACACACAAATTCTGCGTTAAAGTTACATTGCTTTTTATGAGGGGCTTGAGCATCTGTTGATTTTAATATCTACATGGTTCCCGAAGCCAATTCTCTGGAGGTTACCAAGAGCAATTTAGTAATAAATGCACTGACAAACTCCCACTGAGTGCATTTCCCATCAGTATTCCCATCAACCAACAGGTTGATCTGTGTGAGCTCCGGAACCTGGATTTTGGGAGAGATTGGTTTAGGGGCTAGAGAAACATCTCATCAATTTCAAGAATATTTGTTTGCACAATCATGAGAACCAGAGTTTGGATTCCAGCATCTGCCTACCAAGCTGGACATCCCACACAGGTCTGTTATCCCACCTCCAATCATGACAGAGACAGAAAAAATACTGGGTTTTGATGGTTTCTGGTCCAAGCAAGAAAATATGAGCCTCAATATGTGCACCCTCACACACATGCATATGCTCACACAGATACACATACATACAAAGTATAAACAAAACAAGAACCTGATCCATTGCAGTCAGCATTATGCATGCTAAGAGACCCTAGTCTAGGGAGGTCTCTGGGTAAAGGAACAGTTCTGTAATCACTAGTAAGGAAGACCCACCCAAACAGTACAGGTCTGAGGACAGTGTAGATCACCCTCTCTGGAGTAATGGATGATAAAGGGCCAGGATGTACCAAGAGCCCAGTCCACAGTGGCTAGTAATAATAAATAAAAAGCATAAGGGGCTTGGAGTTTTTCCCTAAGCTCACAGACCACTCCCACTTTCAGGAGTGCTTGCTCTCAGTCAGCTGTTGGGAGAGGGGAATAAACACTTGGCCAGTTCTCACAGCCAGATCTCTGTCCTTTCTCCTGATTAACAGAGCTATTGGTTAGAGAGCAGGTTCTGTCACCAGTGTACAAATTATCCTTAGTCCTCAGGTCAGTGATGCTAGCACAGTCATCACAAAAACACTACCTCTTGCAAATGACCCTGTGAAGTGTTTAAAATTAATGTGAAGCAGCACTTTCTCCTCTGATGTCACCATCATCCGACTTTCCCCAGGGACTGTCTTCCATGGATGACACTACACGATGGCCTAAACAGGCTTATAGAGGCTTAAAGTTGCTCCTTTTGGCTCAGTTTCTTTCCTGAGCTTTAGGACTCCATCCAGGCCACTGTGGTTAGGTAGCAGAGACAGTGACTCTCACTTCAGTGTTAGGAGCTTTCCCTGTGGGTCTCTGCAGACCAAACTCTATGCTAATTGCTCCCAAGTCTGATATTTGCCTTTGGCTAATTATGCTCTTTATCAAGTTACTTGAGAAATCTTAATGCAGTTGAGAAGTCAAAGATTCCATGAGAAATTTACTTCACCCTTACATAATCCATGTAGTGAAGACAGTGGTAAGTAAGTTAGCATCCTAAAGAGGAGGGGTCTGGCTTTCTTTAACTTGATGCTGTTTATATCACACTGAGTTGACCAACACTGAGCCATTTTTGCTTGTCTCCTCTGGAAAATACTTATTACCATGATTTTGATTTTTTTTCTTCTCAAAGCTGGGTACCCAGACCAAAGGCCTTGGAATTGCTGGCCTGGCATGTTAGAACTGAGCTAAATCCCCAACCCCTAACGCTGTGGTTTTGAAAGGACACCAAACAGATTGTTTGCCCCACCAAGGCTCAAGTAACTGGGAATGCCCAGGTTTCTTACCTGCCACGAAATCACCAAAGCCTACTGTAGTCAGAGTGACCACCACAAAGTAAATGGACTCCAAGGCTGTCCACCCCTCGATGTATTTAAAAATGACAGCAGGGATCGTCACAAACACGATGCAGCCAGCCAAGATGAACAGAATAGTTGAGATGACTCGGATCTTGGTCTGACTCACTTGCTTTTTCTGGGAAGAGCAAAGGAATAAGAGGAATAGGCAAAGTCAGAGGCAGTATTCTAGATTCAGAAGACAGGTACTTGGAAAGGGATTGGATGTCTGTGGTTTTTAACTTTCCACCAGTCATGATTACCTGTGTAGAAATCTAATAACATCTTCAGATTCCTTGCAAGGGAATGCACACACAGACGTTTCTAGGTAGTCTATGAAGATTCACACTGGAAGTTGGAGCCTACTTGTGCTTGAAATATCTCCTGCATGGTTTTATTACCACAGTCCAATTCCTATCTGAGTCACTAGCATAATTGTAATTACTTCCCAAGAAGATCATGCTGACATCTTTCATGTGCTACTGATCTACTGGTATTCAGCACATTTCACACATTGGCATTGTCAAAAATAATAGATTGGGGGAGGGAGAAATGACATTGGCTTTCAAGAGGCAGTAGGATCGTCACCTGCATCCTTCATGCCTCCCAACAAACAAAAGGAGGGAAAACTAACAAAAAAGTATCCACCATCCCTCATTTGTGGCAGGCTCCAGTCAAGCTTTAGTATATCTCCTTCTCCACTGTGAAATGTGCATTTCTCTAAATACATGTTGAGTTGAGTTAGTGCTAAGGTTATCATGCATGTTGACCACATCACCATATATAATAGGAGATGAGTCAGAATGAAAGGTCCCTTTCTACAAGGTCAATAGGACCCTCTTATGCCCACTGCTAAGGGAGCCAGGGGGCAGTTAGGTAGTAAAAATGCATGAAGACTAGAGACTACATCAATATAAATGAACCTCACCAGCATCCTCCAAAGTGGACAAGTGTCATCCTTGGTAGGGCCCTCTGATGCACTGTAGTCTAACTAAATCTTCTCTGGACTCTGAGAACTAATACTAGAGAAAGTGACTCTACTAGAACTAATACTAGAGAAAATGGTCACTGAGGGACCATTTAATGGCATAAATATGTGAAATGAGTGCTTACCACCAGGCTGCATGGCCTGTCTACTACATTGCCTACGTTGGTTTTGGCAAATGTACACAGCACTTGGGGACAATGTAGGAAATCTGCTTCCCATTCATTGGTCCTGGTCTCTCTGAAGGCAAAGAATCTCAGAGCACAGAGAGGCCAATTGCATCCATATTCTTCATTTTACTGATATAAAACAGATACCAAGATGGGCCAGGGGATTTGCACAAAAATGATGCTGTTAATGAAGGTCAGAGCCAAGATTAGAATTCTGATGTAATTAACTCTCAGCCCAGTGCTTAATGATGGAAACAGCTCCCAGGTTATTCAACAATTGATCAGTTCAAAGAAAATTGCCAAATAAAGGTGACCCTCTCTAACACAAGACACCAGATGCAATCCTTTTGAAGAACAGGCTATCTTGTGTTGGTTATGGAAAGACCAGAGATGAAAAGTAGTCAGTGCATACAGTGTCTGAGAAAAGTTAAAGGAATACAAAGCAAGTCACTCCCTCCGATTACTATGAGGGCAGTTAGCATACAAAGAGGGAGAGGTGGAACAAGACAACAAACTTAACCTGTATGCCTGTCTCCACATCCTCAGGAAGGCCTTCTGAAAACAATTATTGATACTGATAGAGCATGACAAATGAAAATACCAATTTTTTCCTAGAAGTGCCATAGGAGAGGTTGGTTATTTGAGAACCACAGGGGACACTTTGCCTATTTCATGAATTACTGTGTTGAATGAGAGAGCTTTGAGGAGGGGCAGCTGTGCTCCTCTGACAATCCAGGAACTTACTCACCTGGTTTAGTTTGTAGACATGCGCAAAAAATTCAGAGTCCAAAAGGAGATTCCACCGCAGGTTATTATGTTCATCTAATTGCTGGCAAGGAGACTATCATCCCCCCTCAAATGTGTAATGAAATTAAAGTGAATTAAATGTTTGTGTGATACTTGTTAAGTCCTAAGGAGAATGTGAATATAACTCTCCTCTAAATGAGGATGTGATTGGCAAAGAAGGGTGGTGAATATGTGGGAAGCTGGAGATCTACCCACTCTCCTGAAATGGGCAGGAGTGAGTTTTCTTGACGGAGGAGAAGGCAAGTGTATAGCCAAGACTGGGTACTAGTGCTCTGATGTCATTGTCCATTAGAGGGTTCACTAGCCAGGTAAGCATTTCACCTTCTGCTTCCTGCCCACACTGAGTGTGTTTCTGGACTCCCAGGAATTGTGCTGAGAAAATATTTGGAACATCTAATTATTTGAGGAATTTGGAGGACTTAAGAAATGTTTTGCATGACTATGTGGAGATGCATGAAGTAATGCACATATCAGTGCTTGATCATAAAAATTAGATGTGAGCCCCAAGTTGTAGCAATATCTGTTATTCTGGGCATTTGTTTTGACTATCCTCTAGATAACAGCGAACAGACAACTTCCTTCTTTGAAAAGCAGATTTCACCATACATGGAGCCTCAGTCCATGTCATGTGTTGAGTTCCAGGCATTGACTCTACAAGAACACACTCTTACTGTAGAATGGTCATTAGGGAGAGTCTGGGGACAGACTACCTGAGCATTTCCTGTCCCTACTACTAAACAGCTGAGTGACCTCAGGCAAACTTCTCAACTTCACTAAAGTGGAAATAGGAAAGCCCACCTTTGTGGGGGTAGCTTAGAAGATGAAGTTTGTCTAAAGATCAGTGCAGGGTCTACCAAGTGCTCAAGTGGTTCTCAACCGGCACCTTTGGTGTGAAGGTTTTAAGTCTTTCCTTTAATGTAAGCAGTGCCAGACTTACTGCTTCTCTTTGCTGATGAGAAGTATCTCCTTCTAGCTTAAGATGATTTCCACTCAGGTTCAGGAGGTCACCAACCTTTGTCCCTCCCTGGACACATTACACCATATAATCATGACATTTTCAATTTGGGGAAAATCCTTCTCTTCCTTTGGTTCTTCTGTACCAACCCTATCTAATGCTCTTAGACACTCTCAGCTCACAACATTGGCAGGGTTTTTGTTGGGTTCCTTCTTTGGCTGGTTGCTTGGTTGGTTGGTTTAGTTAGGGTTTTTTTTTTCATTTGCCTTTCTGTTCATTTCCTGGTTCTCATCAACTTTCTGAAACTGCTAAGAGCTGGCATTAGCATTTGGGATGCTGCAAAAGAGAACTGAGAGGCCCGAGCTTCATCCTCTCTGTCCTCAAACCCTGTGTCTCATGCCACATACAGAGCAAAGCTATTTCCCTGATGCTGTCCCTAGGCAAAATCACATCACTTATGTACCAAAGGTTGTCTGTCTGGATGTGGTAGTTTGGAAGAAGTAACAAGGTCATTGTGTGTTTCTGACCCAGTCTTGTTTCCTCACTCTGTCAACTGGTTAGGACTGAAGACTTGGTCGTCAGCTCCTTCTACAGATATCATTACAAAATACTAAAAAACACTGTTATACAAAACTAGCTCTTGTATCCAGCTGACGCTAACTACAGAAACTCTTGCAAAACTCAAAATCTGTCTCCCTGTGTGTGCAGCTGTACATAAGCCTCATAATCAGGAGGAAGGGACCAGCTCAGAGATGGATGTGTGCATGCCGCTGTTTACTTATTTCAGACCTCAGGAGGCCAACCACATGTCCAATTACTGTGAACATAATCCCTTGCTTGTTTTTGTTTACAGAAACAATGTTATTTTAGAAAGCTTGCAGATATTTCTGTTCATTCGCTGGTTGTTTTTTCATTTGATTTTTACTCCTTTGCAGTAGTACCTGCTTTTCTTCTAGTCTTTATGTGATGTCTTAGAATTCTGACATACACTATCCAGATTGTTTTGTCTGCCTTGGAAGTATTTTTAGTGTGTGTTTTTAGCCAGGGCATTGGAGATTTTATTCAAAGACATTGCAACAAAATATGCTAGGAATAGGAGCTAGATTTGCAGAGCCCTCCTTTGTGGTATAGTTGGACTTTGTTGAAATTCAGATAAGTCACCATGGTAATACAGATGAACTGAGGATAATTTCTCCCAGTGGAAAGATAATGGGCACTATATTGCTGAAGGTTGGGTTTTATTTTCTTTTTATGGTTTTTTTGCCAAGATTTCTTCTAAGACATCTACTTATAACTAGTAGTTCATCATACCAAATAGCCACAAAGCATCAGCCACTCTATAACCTTAAAGAAAGCTTTTGAACACCATTGTCTATAATCTCCATGGCAGAGAGGATCTAAACACACATTAGTGCGATCATGTAGAAAAATCTCCATGGAGACCACATACACCCAAAGTTCAAATATACAGACGGACCAGCTGTATATCAATATCTAGATAGGTAGATAGATAAATATGAGTTACATCCAGCCTAACACATGGAATGGGTTGATCAACTCAGGACACTGAGGTTTTGACATGAAAAGTTTTTTGGTACATGAAATGGCACTATTTTTATCACTGGGGGCTAATGAAAACTTAATCTGTTATCAATAAAAATTTATGTTCATAAGTAATAATACTATTAACTTATTCCATGCCAGGAAGATGATTTTAATACATTTGTTGAGTCAACAAAAGTCATAGAAAAGATATCCCCATGGGCTTTTCAATAAGCTGTAGAGTTTCTGTTGTCTCCCATCATTAACATACAGTATTGTGACCTAAACATGTGCCAGCCATCTGAACAGTTTAGTGGTTGAACAAGAATGGTATCCAAATGCTGGAACCCAAAGGGAAATAATAAAATAATAAAACAAGTCTGCCCAGAGACTTCCAGGCTTTCTACCAATGTCATGGGTTTGAAATTAGTGCCATCAGATTTCTTTTTCTCAGAAATAAAATTCTGTAGGGTCCTCAACTCATATAGATTTCCAACAGATAGTCACCAAGGAGCTGGCTTTATCCAGGATGTTGACTCTATTGGCACCTCTATGAGTTTTGGGTCTCTGCTAAACTATCTGTGGTCTTAATGAACCTCACATGATCATTCATGTATCTTAATCTCTCTGGGTGGCTGTTAAAAGTGTTCTAATTTTCTTAGAGTAATCTTGCCCTGTCCTTCTGGAGACACACGGTTGCAGATTTGAATTCTGGTGACATTATCAAAGCAGTTGGAATGTCTCCTAACTCAGCTGCTTAGTTTGTAAAGGCATGTTAATCAGAATATCCCTTTCAAAATCGCTGGGCTTTAAATTTGTGGCAATGATATCGTTCATTTTCACACTCACTGACACTCCTTTCTGCCTTAGTTCAGAGGCTTGTTTTTAATGTAACTTCAGCGCTTCTCATTTATTTTTATCCTTTCCTTGCTCTAAAGTACACAGGAGAAGGTGGGGGGTTTTTTCTCAATGCATTTGTTACCTGGTATTTCCAAGAGAGGGCATCAACAACAGACCAAAGAAACAGTTCCATACATGTCTAACCTAGTTAACCAGCATGTTCACTGATGGTTTTTATCGGAATCTAGGTGAGGGATTACTTTTGGGACCATGAATTACTAAGAAGCACCCGCATCACCAAAAAACTCACCCCAGCATGGCTGACAGCTCAAGCTGCATCCCTAGAGCAGCCTACAGGATGCTCCTCCAATTGCAGATGCTCCTATAATCCTGTGGAGAATCTTGCAACTTTCAGGAGCTTCCTGTGCCTTCAAGTTTCCCCAACATCCTGACAGACTTCAATTACTTGGAGTCTTCGAAGCCTCCCTCTCCCTCCCATCAGGGAATGTTTCAATTCAGAGGAAATAGCTACACGTGTTCTTTTATTTAAAAAAATTTCCTCATCCTCTTCAGATAATATTTTCAGCATTGAATTTTCCCTGCTTGATTTCTGTGGGATTTAGTTATTTTATCTTATTTTTGCAATTCTAGTGTGGAACTGTTAGGCTTTCAGAGCTGTCCTTACATCTTTTCTGCATTATTTCTGTACCGCCTTTATTATTGGTTTACACCTCCTCCAAGGGGGCATCAAAGTTACAATCATCCTCTTTGAAGGACGTAGGACCTAGACCACCAGCACAGAACTTACCGGAAAGCTTACTCCATTTACTGATTGCACGTGTGTTTGCTTTTATATAAATTAAAGTCTGGCTATCTTCCATCTGTACTTCCTTTACAGTGGGACTACACATCCTTGCTTTTTCTGTCAAAAGTTGTACGGTAAGTTAGAAGTTTTGTTACCATGAGATATTCTCTACAAACACATAGGAGCTGGCAACCGTGACATTTGAATCTGCACCGTGTTCTAGCAGAATAGATAGATATTCTCCTTGCTGATGTATAGCCTAAATGGAAGCAATGTTGTAAACTGTAGCATCCATGCAGCACACGTGTACTATGGAAGGTACCTGTTCTAGGTGTCTATAAAGCATAATGCAGAAGAGTCCTTTCTTCATCCTGACCATTTCACTTCAAGGGCAACCATCCTCCTCCTCCCCTTGCAGAGGACCACCAGCTGGCAGACTGGCCTTCCCAAACACTGCTTCTTTATGCTGGGATATCAAACACAGATCCTACAGAGGTCCACGTCTCAGCTTCCTTTTTCTTTACTTCCTTCATATACAAGGCAGCACCCTGATCATGGTCTCTTTTTTGCTTAATAGGAAAGTGTGGGCCTTCAGATTTGACACTTTTTTTCTTGTGAATCAGTCCAGAGCAGCAGCATAGTAAGGACTTTCTTCTAAGCCCCACCCACTGCTTTTGTGCCTCTTCCTTTTTTTCTGACTTTGGCTATGTTCTGAGAGCAGATCACCGCTTTTGAGGGATGAAGCTAGAAATTCTCAGTGTGGCCTTCTTCTCTGAATAAGATGACTCAAGGACTTGTAAACACACTCAAGACTGCCCCGTGTTGATAGCAGCGGCCTGAGGTTCTAGACAGGGTACCCGACACCCCAAGTCACCTGCTGGAGTCCCAGTGGCCCAGGCTGGGGTTACAGTAGAAGGAAGAAAGAGAAAAGAAAGGCCAGTGGAGGAAGGGGGAGCAGGAGTGGTGATGGGGCACACTCAGGCAGGGGACAGTACAGTTGGGCTTCCAGAAAGTCTTTAATTGCAATTTTCAAAAGTTAGTGTCTTAATAACCTTTGGAAATAAATGGCTATTGGAATGGATGGTCTGCATTGGAAAGTCATTCTTTTTCAAAACCTAATTATAAGAACCTCTTATATACCCTGGGCTGTTCTAGTTGTGAAAGACATGACAGAAGTGGAGAGGGGAGAAAGGAGGATAGAGAAGGAGGAGGTGGGACAGAGGAAGGAGGAAAGATAAGAGAGAGAGAAAGCTAGGAAGAGAGAGGGAGAGAAGTAAGGAAACAGAGGGGAAAGGAGGGGGGAGGAAGAGAGAGATGCAGGGAGGGAGGGAGGAGGGAGAAGTACAAGAAATGAAAGGAGAGAGGAAGAAGAGAGAGCAGGGAGGGAAGACAAGAAGAAAGGGAGGGGAGTGAAGGGGAAATGGGAGGGGGAGGGAGGTTGGAAATTTAGTAGTTCTTTCTTCATATATACAGTTTACTGGTCCCGGGGTGGGAACATGGAAGTGTGGCTGAAACTGTCACTATCCATGATACCTTTCCTTAGTAGTTATTACAGGTAAAATTTCAATGCCTGAGGACACATTAGAGAAAAAGGAGAAGGATGAAGGGAGTGAAGACAGATGGGAGACTTTTCCTGCCCTCTGCAGTGTGTCAGCTACCATGGATGCCCTTTGCATCTGTGTTGGTCAAACACGCAGAAGCTTTGACCCAAAAGCCAGAAGAATCCACAAGCAGCCCCAATACAGGGAAATCACCCAGGCCACACCTAAGTGGAAGAAGGGTCATTTTCTCTAGTTGAAGTGTGAAAAGAAGGGAAACCTACTGAGGAGCCATAACAGCAGAGTTACCCAGCAATCCTACTAGATAACGCCATCAATATTTGCCAAGTATTGTATGGTAGATAGGGCACATGAGCCTTCTGGTAGAATAGATACTCATTTTCCCATAATGATGCAAGGTGCTCTGCCCACCTCAGCACATGTGGCCACCATGCTCTTACTCTGGCCCAGGAACTCAGGCACTTCTTTTCAATTTAGGAGCAAGATTCACCCAAGAAGATATCCCAAGTCTGTTGTGAGATATGTCACTGTGACTGGTTTAATAAAAGCTAAACAACCACTAGTCTGGAATGACTTCTGGACAGAAAACTCTGGGAAGAAGAAAGGCGGAGTCTCCAGCCAGATGTAGAGGAAGCAGGATTGGCAAAATGGAGATGAGGTAACGAGCACATGGAAGAATGTAGATTTTAAAATATGGGTTAACTTAAGCTATAAGCGCTAGTTAAAAACAATCCTAAGCGAAGACCAAGCTTTCATAATTAATAATAAGTCTCTGTGTTGATTTTTAGGAGCTGGTGGTCCAAAGGAAGGTCCAACTGCACATCTGGGTTTATATCAGGGAACCCATCTGCTCACAGATAAACCATATTCACCAAATATTGAGAGAATATATATTCTCTCTCTCCAATTTCTTAACATAACTTTTATTGATTCTTTGGGAATTTTACACTAGGTGCCACAATCTCACATATTCCCCAATCCCTCCATATCTGCCCCTCACCCCTATAGTGTTCCTCCACCAAGAAAAATTTAAAATATTAATTAAAAAATGAGCCGGGCGGTGGTGGCGCACGCCTTTAATCCCAGCACTCGGGAGGCAGAGGCAGGCGGATCTCTGTGAGTTCGAGGCCGGGCTGGACCGATAGCCTCCGAAACAATACAGAGAAACCCTGTCTCGTAAAAACCAAAAAAAAAAAAAAAAATGAAGCAAACAAATCAAAAAACAAAAAACCTTCCATCCTCCATCTTTCCTGCCTCTCCAAAACTTCTTCATTTGTTTTAGTGGCATTGGGAGCAGCAGTGTGTCATGCAGTATGTCATTTTGTCTACTCAGCTTTTTTAATTTTACTTGTAAATGTTCATTGCAATGAGTTTTTGGTCTGGTCCAAGGCCTCTGGTTTCTGGTACATCATCAATACTGAGCCCTCACCAAAACTCCCCTTGGATATCCTGCTGTTAGCCTGAGTCCTGGAGATACTGGAGCTATGGTTCTGAAGCATCAGTCCCTTCACACATTCTTTCAGGTCATGGATGGGGTAGATGTTGGGGTGGGCCAACTCAAAGCCCTGGAAGTAGGTTTGGGTAGTAGCTGATTTGGTTAGTCAGGGCCATTGAGACCACCCCCCTCAGGGAAGGGGTAGAGTCAACTCCTCTATGCCCATACCTTTGGGGACAGCTCTCCCAGGCCCATGTTGAGGGTTGGGGCCATCTCTAGTGAGCATGGAGCCAGCTGTCCCATGAGGGGCAAGAACAGTTCTGTTGTAGTGGCCAGAGAGGGACAAGGCCAGCTCTCCCAGGACCAGCAAAGGGTGGTGCTGGCTCAGCACAGAACCTCAGATTTCAATATTCATGGTTCCTATGGCCCCCTGTGGTAACATGGGCCACAGAAACTAACAGGAACCACAACTGCAATAGGACCATGGACCTGGACATTGCCCTAGGCAACAGCATGGCCCCAGGCGGCAGTGCAGGCCACTCAGTTTGGCATGGCCCCATCAGCAGCACAGCTCTTGGACATCAACATAGCCATAAGTGGAGGCCCAGACCTTGGGCACAAGTACAACTTTTGGTGGCATCACAGGCCACATACGTCAACACCGACCCCAGCTTTGGTAGGACCGTGGACCCAGCCATGGTCCTCAGCAGCAGCCGGGGGTCCAGTGTCAACATAGCCCTAGGTGGCAGTGCAGGTCACTCAGATGTATACAACCTCTGCTGCATCATGACCCTCAGAAAGCTACATGGTCTAAGGAGACTGACTAGACAGCCTTTGGTAGTAACTGCCACAAGCTTTAATTTTTTAAAGTATTCATTTGTTTGCTTCCTTGCTTATTATTTTAAGTGTATGGGTATTTAATCTTATTCATAGTTGACTTTTTTTTACTCTTTATTTTTTGCTCTTTGGGGGAGCACCACCCAGCTCCCATCCAGCTCCCAAATAAACACACAGAGTCTTATTCTTACTTACGAATGTCTAAACTTAGCTTGACTTGTTTCTACCCAGTTTTTCTTAATTTAAATTATACTATCTACCTTTAGCCTCTGGGTTTTTATTTTTCTCTATTCTATATACCTTTCTTTACTTCTCTTACTCTGTGGCTTGGTGTGTGGTTGGGTGACCGGCCTCTGATGTCCTCCTCACCTTCTCCTTCTTTGGCTCCTTGATCCTCTCTTCACAGATTTCTCCTCCTATTTATTCTCTCTGCCTGCCAGCCCCACCTATTTCTCTCTCTTGCCTAGCTATTGGCCATTCAGATATTTTTTAGGCCAATTGGGTGTTTTAGACAGGCAAAGTAACACAGCTTCACAGAGTTAAACAAATACAAACCAATTTTGCATCACCAAACAAACATTCCACAGCATGAACAAATGTAATACATCTTCAACTAATATTCCACAGTACTTAGTAGTTCATACGTAGATCAACAAGGAAGAGATGTTCATTCACCCTATCTCTACTTATACTCGTTTGTACCATAGTGTTTTTGGATTTTGAAACAGTGTCACCAGCCCCTGACTCAGAGCCACCTTGCAGCCTACAGCAGATTGGCCAATCCACTACTTTCTTAGTTTAGCAATGGAAAAAATGCTAAGAGTCTGGGGCTTGAGATGTGGCACAGAGGTTAAAGGGCACTGGCTGCTCTTCCAGAGGACCCAGGTTCCATTCCCAACAGCCATATGGCAGATCACAACCATCTGTTAACTCCAGGGAATTTGACACTGTTAATTTCAGGGAATCTGACACTTTCTTCTTGCCTTCACAGGCACCAGGTACACAAACTGAACACAGACATACATGCAGGCAAAACACCCCTTCACATAAAACTTAAAAAGAGAAACTGAATTATTCTACTATGAAAAAGGAAACACACTGAAGCATCTACTGCACTGTGAGGTTTGTTTTCCTATAGGGAAGTGACTTCCCCTCTCTAAATTGTGGGTATTCAACAGGAAGAAACAGTTACCATCATTAAATAGGTTCTGAGTGAGATTACAACAGATCTTCTGATAAGGTAAGACCCGAGAAAGCCTTGGGCTCTAGCAAAGCTATCTATGAGGGATAAGAATGCTGCCTGGGAGCTGGAATAGGGTGTGGGCAGAGACTGTGGTCACAAACCAGACATAACACTTATTGGGTAAATTCAAACATCCACTCAATGGCTGCGAATTGTCCAGGGACACTCGACTCATCCTCCTCTTTGTCCATCTCTTAGCATATGACTGGTGGCTGAGTACTCAGCAAGTGTGAGAGGTCAGAAAACTGTCAGAGGATCCCCATATAACTCACAGCCCATGCTGAGGTATGGAAGGAAGGTATCTGTGAGCTTCTCCTGGGATGCCTGGAATCACCATATATTACATGCCCAAGAATCAAGGTAAGTGAGAAACACATCTGCTAGAAGACATGTAGGAAGCATCCAGGATCATCAGCCAGACTAACAGTAAAACCAATAAAAAGTTGCCTTAGAGTTATCAGTAGGTGATGTGCTCTACCCCATTGTCCCTTCCCTTCGGTTCCTGTCTTTCTTTCCCTTCTCCTCCCTTCCCTTACTTCTTTATTCCTTCCCCTTTTTACTTTAGTTTCTTATTTTCTGCTCTTATTAGGAGCACATGAAGCTAACTGAGAGCATAAGATTATTCTTTTATAGCCACTTCTTCACAGAGGTTAGAAACAGAGATCCTGAAGACAAAAGAAAAGATATCAGGTCTTGTGCTCACCCCACGCTAGAACAGTTAGAAAATGGCATTTGCCTGACCCTAGTAAAGCTCAGCCTTCACTTGACTGAGGGGCCACCACTGGTGCTGCTTTGAACTGCCAAGTCACATGATTACCATGCTGTGATGGCACTGAGTCAATGGGTCTTTTTTGTTGTTGCTGCTGCTGCTGACTCTTTATTTGATTTCCCTTCTTCAGAATGGTGAAGTAAATCTCCATCTGGCATAGAAACTAAAAAGACTTGGAGTTATGAACGGCCTCAGCCAGTGATCAACATGGAACATGTAGGAGCTTCCATGGTGGGGAGGACTGGGTGGGTGGCACCAGTGCACACACCATTTGGTGTTAAATAAGAAGAACTGGGAGTTTCTTTGGGGAGATGATGGTCAAAATAGTACTATTATGTCCCATTTCAGGGGAGTCACCAATGTGCTTCTAAGCAGCAGCAACAGCAGCAGCAGGACCATCACCACCATCACCACCACTACCACCACCACCACCACCACCACCACCACCACCACCACTGTCATCGCCATTACGACCATTGAAGGGCTCTCTTCCAGGCCCGAGCATGGTTAACATCTTGCCGTCTCTCCTTCCCTCTGCCTTGCTAAACTGTTAGGCTACAGTCATAAAGCTAGCCCCCGTGGTCTATTCCCTTATTTGGCCTCTTCCTTATGCCTGATTAAAACTCCAAGGTTCAACTACGAAAGCATCAAGGTCCAACAGTCAAAATTCATTGTTTGTCTACACTGGCTAACCTGTCCAGTCAGGACATACCAAGTTACCCTAGCACAGACTTCCCATTTTCTCCTTTAAAAAGACACTCCCCATTTTCTCCTTTAAAAAGACACTCCTGCAGAAACATCCACTGTCTGATCCAGAGACACCCCCTACACCTCCATTGTTTGTCTCTCTGGGTAATAAATCTCCTTCGTGCTGAGAATTTGGTGTCTGGGTGTGTTCTGTGCTGATTCTGAGACCCAGGCCCCCCAAACATCACCATCACCACCACCACCACCACCACCACCACCACCACCACCACCACCACCATCAGCAGCTACCCTGTCTGTGTTGGACAGGCACAACTGTGGCTTCTGCTGGGACCAACCCTTTGACATCACTTGAACCATTCTTCTTTTCTGGGTACCTTCCAAGTTTGGTTCTCCAGCATTCCTGGGATTCAATAGGCATCTAATACCCCTGCTCAAAGTGTTCCTGTCTGTTATTCCCTTGTCACAAGGGAGGAACTCACCAAGGACATAGTAATGTCAGGATGTCTCAAAGACAAACTGGCCAGTGATCTGTATATCATATGGGAGCATCCCAGTAAACGGGAGGTCTAGGAGGAAGCTGGTTTCAGTCACTTGGAGGCAGGCCAAGCACACAGCCTGGTTATTAGATCTCCTGATGACAGGCCCACAGTTCTGCACTTTGAGAACAGTTATAGCTACAGCCAGAAGAGACATAAGCACTGTGGGTAACATGGGAATGGAGAAGAGAAAGAAAATAGCATGTTCATGATCCCACATGCTTCTCCCAAAGATAATAACACAAACTGTCATTGGAAATCACACACACTGTCTGTCTTCTGCATAAGGAGTGATGACTACATCCTTGAGAAAAGACTAGAAAAGTCTCTGTTTCCCACAGCACAATGAAAAAAAATCCTTGTCTGGGCCTTCAGAATCCTAGGAACATTTTCCAAAAGTGGTGGCAGAAGCCATGGGGACCTGATCTTCTTCCAACTCAGTAATTGCATCCTGCCTGCCCTGCTGGGTCACCTCCTCTTCCTGCAGAAGGTGGTACCGCCTCCTGTGCTAACCTGATGGGGAGCCCCATGGCTTATGCACACCTTCAGGTTTCTCCTCACCCCAATCTGTAACAGCAGTGACTCTGCCCTCTGCTCTCTGGAGGGGCTGCACTGTTTGTTGATACTCAAAAACCATGCCAGGTTGTGGTTTTGTTCCCTTTGATATCCAAGACTCTTCTTTTTTTTTTTTTTTTTTTTGTTTTAATAGAGCAAGAAGTTTTAGGTTTATGGGAAAACTGACGGGAAAGAATATCAATCCCCATGCCTCCACACACACAAAGCCTCTCCTGGTAGCCCTACCAAAGTGGTACATCTGCTACTACTGATTATTCCGCAGTGATTTCTCAGGTACCCAAAGGCCATCATTTACACCAGGGCTCACTCCGGCTGTCGTGCAGTCTCCAGTCATGAATAACGACATGAATCCACAATTACAGTATCACACAGAGTGCTTTCCCAGCCCCCAAATTCCTTGTCACTCCCCTCTCCGCCGGTCTTGTGCTGATGTTCACCTGCCAGAAAGCGTGTGCTTGCGTGTCCTGTTGAGACTTCATAGTGTTTTGCTTTGTTGGTTTGGCCCCTTTAAGTGCTGCTCCATCCGTAGGACATTTTTAATGCTCATTCCTCAGAGCACAATTCCAGCCTTACCTCCTGCTGCCACCTCCACCTTCTCATTTAAGTTAACATTTCTTCCTCGGCTGTGTCCTGGGCATGTTCCCTATCAACAGGGCCGTTCAGTCTGCCTCGCTGCCTGTCTCTGTCTGTCTGTCTCCTTACTACACGATGAACACCTCCATCTGTGTGTCATCAGTGCCCTGAATAATGGGCTTATTTTGTTGTGCTGGCTAGTCTCACATCAACGTGACAGAAGCTAGAGCTATTGAGGGGCCCTCAGTTGAGAAAACATTTATGGGAAAGCCCATCGTGCATCTGTTTGATTGATGATTGATGGAGGTAGGCCCAGTTTACTGTGGACACTGCCACTCCTGGGCCTGTGGTCCCGAGTGCTACAAGAAAGCAGGCCAAGCAAACCTGGAGAAGCCAGCCAGTGAGCAGCGCTCTTCAGGACTTCTGCTTCAGTTCCTGCCTCCAGGTCCCAACCTGAGGTTCTGCCCTGGCTTCTCTCCATGATGGACTGCAGTCTGCATGTGAAATAAATCATTTCCTCCCAAGTTGCTTTTGGTTGTGGTGCTTTATCATAGCCATAAGAAACTCTGAGATACTTATTTCCCTTCTGGTTTAGTTCCTGGAGAAAATGTGGGCCTAAAATAATCTACGAGAGAAATTAATGTATGCATCCAATAAGAGACAAACTGTCAAGACTTTATCATGTGAAAAATCTAAAGTATATTGGACAGAGAGATACAGGCATACATAGTATCTATCTAAATGAGAGCTGCACCAAGGGGAGGTGATCCTGGCTGTTGACAGGCAAACAGACATATGTGCAAATTTCCCGAAGCGACACAAGGCCTTCCTAGAGCTTTTCTCTCCAACACCACTTAGATTGTACCACCCTATGGGGTGGCTTGTAAGTCTGTTGGGATGTTTGTGGTTGTTACCCTGTAGGGACACTCTGCCACAAGTTATAACTCTTCTACTTTTCATAGGAGTTCTGAAAAAACTGTGTTTATGGTAATCTGAGCCAAGAACTTCACTCTCTTCTACTTGTAAATACATGGAAAATTCTGTATTCAATGGGGGAATATGTTTTTACAAGAATGTAATTAAAATACATTTTGTGTTTGTGTATGTGTATTCACATGTGTACAGGTACACATGTGTAAGCAAGTGTACTTCTTGCCCGTGTGTGTGGAGACCAGAGGACAACCTCCAGGGTTGTTCTTTAAACAACTTTGCGTGTTGGGGGTTCGGAAATGTGGGTCTCTTGACCCTCATTTGTCCTTGGGCTCACTGAGTAGGACAGGCTTGGTGGACAATGAGTCCCAAGGGACCTCCTGACTCTGCTTCCCCACCTCTGAGTGACAGTGTGTGCCACCAAACCCAAAGTTTCATTGAACTAAGGTCCTTGTACTCGTGAAGTAAATGTTTTACCAACTAAGCCATCTCTCCAGGCCTGAATCAAAGCAAATTTCAATAAGGTTGGATTTTAATCATTTGGGTCTGGTTGAGAGTTGTTCTCTTTTTTTGGAAAAACAAGTCACTAGGAACAGAAAAGGGAAGGGGGGAGGGGAGGGAAGGGAAGGAAAAAGGAAAGGAAAAGAAAAAGGAAAGAAATGGAAAAAGGAAAGGAAAAGGAAAAGGGAAGGAAAAATGAAAGGAAAGGAAAAGAAAAAGAAAGGAAAGAAAAAGGAAAAGGAAGGAAAGGGAAAAAGGGATAGGGGGAAGGGGGGGAAAGGGAAAGAGGGGAAGAGGGGAAGGGAAATGGAAAGGAAAAGGAAAAGGGGAAAGGAAAAGGGAAAAGGAAAAGGAAGGAAAGGAAAAAGGAAGGAAATCCCTGGTGGCCTCTAAGTCACCAGTACAACACACCTGAGGGAGTCTGCCTTGAAAGCTAATGCATTTGGAGGGTCACCAGGTCAGCTGCTTTCTCAGTATCTCACAACTAACTATTGAAACACAAATTTTATTCTGTTTTCATTTTGTCTTTATATTATAACTAGGAAATATTCATGGATTTTTTTCAAAATAGTGTGTCTAGTGCATTGTACTATCAACAGTGTTCATTTCAACGTAATAAAAAATGTGCTAGTATTTTCTGAAAGGGTGATATTATGTGTTTCTCAACTACCAAGTGAAAACAAATTATATATTTTAAGAGAATTAACTTGACAAGTCTGCAGAATTACACTTCGGCTCGAACTCAAATATTGTTTGTAATAAGCATTGTGAGGTGGGGGCAGCTCCCCAGATGAAACATCTTCTGACAGAACAACTACTTCGAAAGTCAAAATCTCTCTTCCTCTATTGGCATTTATTTGCATCTGATGTCATTTTCTATATCAAGATATGTGAGGTTAGATCTAGTAATGCTCTTTGTCATTTATCCGCCCAGCTGTGGATTAAGAGTCCTCTGTGTGCCCAGCATTGTGGTAGCTCCTCTAGACAATGTTGCCGTCCATGTAGGCAATGGGAGTTGAGGCTACTGAACTGAGAAACTAACACCCTGACAGCGGAATGAGGGTGGGAATGAGTGGATCATAAATAACATTCAAGCCTAGGGACAGGGTGGGGAAATTCCGCTGTAAACACTGAGGCTCTTCTGACTTTCTGAGGTAAAGTGGTGCTCTTTCCCCAAACACAATCATCAAGGCTCTTACTCTTGAAAATACATTTCACTATGAAAAAGTTTTAAAAAAAATATTATCAACAGGAACTTGAGAGATGGTCCAGCCGTTAGGAGAACTTGTTGTTCTTGTAAAGGGACCTAGGTTTGCTTCACAAGTCCAACCTAGCAGATCACAGTCATCTGTAACTCCAGTGCCAGGGGATCTGTTGCCTGATTCTGGCCCCCATGGGCACTAGACACACAGATGGCATGCAGACAAAACACCCACACACTTAAAATAATTTTAAGTTAAAAACTTTTTAGCAATATGAACTTTACAGAAAATCTAGCCAGTGTCACTTTCTGATATTTAATAATCAAGTCTAATAATTTGAATTCAAGACTTTTCTAGAAATATAAAAAAACTGAATATATTGATGAGGAAATGAAATATAAAGAGTGTCACTGAAAGAGCAGGGCTGTGTTTCAACATCTTCCCACCACCTTAGGAAGGATGGATGAGGGCTGGTCCTGCGGTTTTCTTCTTTGCTAATGGTATCATCAATGGGACAAAGTTCAGATACCATGAAAGCCACCATTTAAAATTTACAAATCAATGCATTTTACTATGTTCCGTGTGTTAGTCCACTTTTGTCATGAAAATAAAATACCTGAGGCACTTAACTTATAAAAAAAAACTGAATATTTATCCTGGGTATACAAATGGACTTTGGACTCCCATCCCACAATGAGAGATGCTCTCTCACCCTGGACTCTTGGGGGGAGGGTCTAGGCCCTGCCTTGGATGAAATATGGACATCCCCATGGAGGGCCTCACCCTCCCTGGGGAAATGAGGGGATATTGGAGGGGTTGGTGGGAGAGCACGGGAGGAGGGGAGGGAAAGGGAGAGGGACCTGGAATTGACATGTGAAGCA